AATCATTTAATAAGTCCTCACAGATATAAAACTTTTCATTCTTTACTTTTGTTTGAGCCATCAAAAAAAGTCTCCACTCCTCTGGTACATAATTTTGACCCAAGAGATCAAACAGTTGCGGTGGATCTGCGCAATAAGCGAGGTTAGTGCTACCTTAGTCCATTTTGAACACCTTCTTGTAGTTTTTCCAGTCGTCGTTACGGTTACGAGTAATTTTAAAATCAATTTCCCTAAATTCTGCGGCTTCAATCTAGAAGCCAGCATCTCGGTTTGTCGGTGGGATAATTACAAATCCCGCACAATTTTCTTGTTCTCGTTAGATACAAAATGTTGCTCAGTCGAACGGCAGCCAAATGTGATAAACTCATCACACTTTTTGGTATCGGTAACGTTACCATCGTCATCACTATTAGTGTAGTAACTAGTTGACGCTTTTTCTATGTTAATGACCGATATAGCCTTCGTTACGGATTTAACATTAAGATATTGCACAAGATGTCGTGTTTTATATTTGTGTCCACAAAAGTGCATTAAACAAAAACAGTTTTTTGTGAGTGGTATTTCCGATAATGCCATAGCATTGGAACTGAAAATGGGAATCTTCTTTTTTTCTACTCTTTGANTTAATGACCGATATAGCCTTCGTTACGGATTTAACATAAAGATATTGCACAAGATGTCGTGTTTTATATTTGTGTCCACAAAAGTGCATTAAACAAAAACAGTTTTTTGTGAGTGGTATTTCCGATAATCCCATAGCATTGGAACTGAAAATGGGAATCTTCTTTTTTTCTACTCTTTGAATTCCAAGTTTCTGTTACAGATGCTCATGCTACACATACGCATGCGGGCATTTTTGAACCGAATTCTGAGATAGGTTATTTTTCAATAAAATTCTTCAACCAAATTCTGAAGTAGAGCGTTCTTGAAATTTTTTCTGTGATAGGGCGTTTTCGTACTGACTGCCGAGATAGGTCGATCATTCACTCAGGCGTCGAAATTTGACTACTATATTCTTACTACAAATATGTAGAACAGGCGTATAAAAAATTTATAAATGTGAATGTCACCCTATTGCCAGAAGCATAAATGTCCAAATTTACCAATTTTGAGTTATTGGATTGAATTGATTAACCTTTGGATGTTCTATGTGATACCAAAACCCAGAATACCATGCGTACACGGAAACCACATATTTCACAATGTCAATTTCATGAATGAAGAGTTAAGTCTCGTATAAAAGACTTTTAAACTTGATCTCCCAAAATTTTAATTTTTACACATTCATGTTTCTGGCATGCGGCGGACGATATGTACTTGCCGATTTGTTAAAAAAAAAAAAAAAAAATATTTAAAAAGCAGATGTGTCTGTTGCTCAGCAAACCGGGTAATCGATTCCGAAATTATTTCACATTGATTTTCTAAAGGTAAATTTTATTAGAAATTAAACTGAAAATATATTAAAACTAGTGGTAGCCCCCGAAATTCGGGTGAATGCAGTAAATAAATACTTACTAATATTGAGAACTTAAATTTAAGTATATAATATAACGTGATATTCATGAATATACTTCAGTATTTAGCTCAAGATTTATTTAAAAAACTTCGTGAAAGACAACAATTAATCTTGTGTTGCTAGAGACCAGATAACCCAGGACAATTTTTAAGTTCTTAAAGGACCTCTCGAAGCTTCGTACTGTGGGCCGTGAGAAAACAGTCATCTTTAATGTATAATCCAACCTTTTACAATATCTGTCCAAAGCATTTATTAGTCGTAAGCTGAAATGTAATAATCACTGAAAATTTACGCCGATTATGGTGAAAGACATTTTAAGCTGATGCCAGATAAAACGCGTGCTTCGCTTTGCATGACAGATTCGCTTTGACAGATGAGATGAATTGTATGAAAATGTACAAACATGAAACATAACAATTAATTACATTGCTGATATTTTTAAAGCTAAATATATAAAACCCACAGCAATTTTTACGAGTAAAAAATCAGAACAAAATTGTTTTCTTGGCGTTCATTGTGGCATACCTTTTGCGTCTGGCGCTTTGCTGGCAAAGTTATAAATGTTCCGCAAAGCCACAAAGTTTTATCTGGCATCAGCTTTAGTATCACACTTTTAAACTAAAGCTTTCTTAACCCTTTCAGTACAAAAATTCAACCACTGATTCTAAAAATTTTTAAATGTGTATACCGGCTAATTTTGGAACGTTCACTTCAAAAATCACATCAACAAATTTTTAAAGCTTTGAGCTTGGCCGTCATTTAGGGTCCTTTATAATGTTCAGTGATGTCCCAGGTGTTTAAAAAAGAAAGTTTTTGCTTTCGTGAAATGTATTTCAAAACTATGAATAATTCCTAATACCTTTTCCGAATCTCCGTTCCGCGGAAAATACTAGATTAATATTTTTCAATAGACTTTGCTGCTTCGTACTCTTCCGGTAATCTCTGAATGCGCTTAAGGTGCGGTTTCGATCTATTGGTGAGTGGAATTTCACTATGACCGCTCCACTTTCGCTTTGGTTTGAGCGCGACTTAGTCCGGAAAATGTCTCTTATTTGAGGCGCTAAAAAATCGATCGACTGGCAAATCTGGAGATTTTCACCTTCAATATGCGGCAAACAAAAAATAACAGCGTCCGCGCTAAAACCAAGATTTCCCTTCTCTTCCTGACTCTCTAGTTGCTTGCCCAGCAATCTCAGTTTATTTTCAAGAGAACTTACACTTATTTCCAGCGATGCAATTTGAGCGGCAGACTCTGCCGTTTTTGTTGTCAATAGCGCTATTTCTTTGTCTATTCGCTTTGTCAGCTTATTCGCGATGTCCGCCAGTCTGGATGAGAGACCATCAAATATCGATTGCAGCTTTTCAGTTTGACTCTGCACTTTGTCTTCTAAGTCTCTTAGCGTTGAAAGTACCGTAGATACAAGAATGATAGAATACAAGATTGCGCCGATCAGAGAGGATTTTTAAGAATAACTTTTGTGTGACGTCACACTGGTGCAATTGCGAGAGAGAAATGCCAAAACGTGAGCAAGAATGGAAGAAGAAGAAGAAATATTGCAAGGAAAACGTAAACAGTTTGCACAAGTGTAACGTCATGGAAACAACGATTCTGTCAAATTCGTTAAGAGAGGAATAGCGGTCCGAGATCGGCGCAACCTTTGTATTCTCTCAATCGTGCCGTAGATAGAACGATGCTCTCATCTAACTTCGCGGTTTTGTAAGCCGCGTTAGGGGAGCCTTTACTTGGTGGGCGCTTAAGAGATACCGTGGAAGGGGGAGACATCACTCACGAGGTACAAAGGCAGGGAAGCAGCTTGCTATTTCAAGCGTTTTTTCTGCACACAGCTTTTGAAGCAAACACACAATAACACAGGCAAAAGCACGCGACAATACAATTCAGATGAATGCAGGTTATTGCTTATCATGATTCAATAATACAAGGTTAGATAATTATTGACAGCTGCGGTTTGACACTCCCTTACAAAAGGTTGCATTTACGAAGGACAGAGAAAGGGCAAGAATGCAATCCCTTGTTGCGAAAATGGTAGTAGAAAAGTACGCAAAGTAGGCAATTAGTAGTGAAATTCCTTTTGTAAATTCTAATGTATTTGCAGGAAATCTGGCATTTTAAACGAAATGTTGAACGTAATATTGATATATCTACGTGATTTACGTAATTTATATGCTATTTAGCTGTATAAAAACTGCAAAATGACTCAAAATTAAAATAAGACTACTATGAGATCGATGTAAACATCCAAGGCTTATGTTTTCATCAGTTAAATATGCTTCATAATCATATACAAGTAAACATTGCACAAAAGCTTATACTTTTATTTCACACCAAAGCTACACTGTTTCCATGTAAATTTGCAAAGAAGCAACACGGTGCCACTGCTAAGGGAGCGGTGCGAGAGAGACAACTGTCAGTTTATCGAACCTTGTATTATTGAATCATGATTGCTTATAACGCAAAAAACACAAAAAATATAGTGTAAAAAGTGCAGAGCTTAAGAAAGCACGTCTGCTCACTGCGATGCGTGATATTTTAATTTTTTAAAGGAATTTTTTATGCATTAAAAAATAACAATACGCAAGGCAAATTTACTTAATTCATCGTAGCTTAGCTGTTAATGAGTTAGACTTAATTTAAAATACCTTAAATTACCTTACCGCAAAAAAATTTGGCATTATATGCAGTGTTCCATGAGATATTATTATAAATATTAGGATGTTGCTTTAATTTGGATCCTTTTTAGAGAACATATGAACAAGGGAATAGTTAAAAAGTAGCTTATCGTCAATGAAAGCACTATGGAAGCATAAATAAAGGTAACAAAATTTACAAATTCTTAGAGCTCCTTGTTATAGTTTATAGAGAGATAAGCTACTCGCTCTACTGCTGCTGGTGCAGCGTTTCGCTTAGATTGGGCACACCCGTGCCGAGGCTGAAAATTTTCCGCCGAAAAGTGGTTGGAACAAGCAAACAACACCTTGGTGAAGTTACCATGTACGTGGCCATCCCGAAATATGCGGCTAATCGTACTAAATAATGATGAAAACAATTGCATAAACAAATAGATTATCCATGTGCATTACGCAATGTAATAGGAGTATTTTACTAGCCTTCCGTTTTATAATTAACTTTAGAAATAAACCACTAATAGCTCGCTATATTATGATGCTCAAAATATATTCCTTGAAATAATTTTGGAAAAATTTTTTTTAAGTAAAAAGCCACTTTTTAGTTTCTTCAAAGAATATGGTATCTTCAATTTAAAAGAAAACGTCTAAAGCACAGTTTACGTCAAATGGGAGCAATGGCGGATAAGAAGAAGAAGTGAAACTACCTTTAAATATTTGTATCATGTTTCTTGGGTATATTTATATTATATAAAAAAATTATTTCCAAAATAGAATTATTGAAAATATGCAACAAAAATAACTGTGCTTTACTAACAAATTATTATACCTTTCTTTCCAGACGTATTGATTCAAATAAACTACAATATTTAAAAAGTGGAGCTCTGCGGGGTTTGAAAAAACTAATGGCGGTAAAGTTTGATAAAAATCCTTGGCATTGCGACTGCCGTGTTTTGTATTTAGCCCGATGGATACGCGAGTTCCCATATAAATTGTGGGATGGTCAAATGGCAATGTGTCGTGGACCTGGTAATCTAGGAGGACACGAAGTCGGACTACTTCGTTACGATGATCTTTGTGAAGGTCAATGGGCAAGCATGGTATCACTATCTCCAAGGCTTCCTTTACGAAAACATCGTATTCTTAAGCCTATGAATTACAGTTCTTACTTCAGTTTGTACTTGAAGCACATATATTCAACTACCCCTAGAAACAAATTCATTAGATAAGAAATTTATGTAAATCACTGGTGAGCACATTGATATTTTCTAAACAAAATTAATTGGGCTACAAAAAGCTGCTATATGCTGCGTAGTTTTCATATCGCACCCTAAAATCAAAAATAGTCACAACTCAAAAAATCCCAATTGTTCAGGAGAGACAAACAACTGCTGATGCTGAGCAAGCGACCCAAGCAAAACAAAAATAGTCTTAATAATATTTTAAAACATTTTAAGTTAATGAAGATAGTGATGATGTGAACTTCTTATTTGGCGCAGCGTCCGGAAAAATTTTGAGTTGTGACTACTTTTTATTTACGGTGCAATATGTCCACAGTGTTAAGACCGATATTTGACGCAAAGTAAATCAAAGCAGTCTATGTTCAAAGGGATAATTCGTTTTGCGTTATTGCAAAGTGATAAAAATAACACTTTAACACTGCATTTATTACGGTGTTAATTATGTACCTTTCACTTTACTTCACGATAACACAGAACGGGAGTTGACCGGGGGGGG